TCAGAATCGAGATTATGATTTTTAAATTCTAGTGTAAAACTGAAATACCACGTATAATGAACAGCAAATATACCACTTCATACTGCACACAACATTTAGTATGAACACAACAAATTACTATATGCCACCATACAGTGAAAATGATAGTACTGAACGCATTAAGTGCTCAAATCTGTCTCTATAGATTGTATATAACAGGCAAATTGACACTATTCCTAAACCCTCATTTTTGAAATGCATCTTGAACTGGTGTCAATATATTTTACAGATGAACTACTAGTCATATAGTGACTTGTTTATTTGAGCCTAATTCATTCATCCGTTTAACAGCAGAACATTGTTGCACTGTAGCTGATATCAGTTTGTGATGAAAATCCTATCTCTAAACCTCTGATCTTTACTCTAAGCACTTAAGCCCAACCAAAAAACAATGTGGGAACCCTGAAAAGTCTGTTTGGATCTCTTTAAAAGTTGGAGAAAGAGGATAATTTATATCTCTAAGAACGAGTTTTTAATCGTTTTTTCCCAACTTTCTGGCACACTGAACAGTAGATAACTTAAATAGATTCACCAGATAATTTACATTAAAATGAAAATACCTCGATTAATTTCGAGATTACTGCTGAGATGTTTTTGTTTTCTGAATAAATACACATGAATATTAAATAAAACTAATTATTTCTACTAAATATGAGATAGAAATGTATCCTGAACTCAGACTATTTACAAACTGATGTTTAGATGATATATTAGTCGTTTTCATTGAGAGCAAAGCAAAAGTTTTATTCAATATATTATGGAAGGGAATTAGGGCCAAGGAAGGATGAAAGGTTGGATGTATGGTTTTTGCATGCAAATTTAAGGCTTGAATCGGTGGATCGCCGACGCCTTAATAGTGCATAAGTCGAATCAAAAACTTATACACCGCTGAGGCGTTGGTGATCCACCAATTAAAGACCGAACTTTGCGAAAAAAAATCATTATTGAATAAAAAAATATCATTTTACACCTTAGAACTAAGTATTGATAGTTTTCTGAAAAAAACGTATAATTTAGCAATCCCCCGAAAATATGGTTTTGTCTTCTATTTTATTTGATTGGTTTTGATATCAAAATCTGTATGTTTGTGTGTTTGCTAACACTCAGCTAACAAGTTTTATACTTACAAGCTCTATGAAACATGTTATATCCGAACAAAGAATACATGAATGGTAAATGCTGGGAATTATTCATGAACTATTATTACATATATTCCCACTGAATAACTACTAACTATATTATATGTATATTTATAGTAATTTTATTATAACTCCTATGAATCCGGTGTTCATCTTGCTGTGCTAATGCGGTATGGCAACCTGGATCGATGCATATATGTGCCTGGTCCTACGTTGTAGCTGACTGACTGACTGAATTTTATTATAAGCTTCCATTTAACCTATTGAGTACAATTACACGATTTATTATTATTAGGATTCTCTCAATGTATAAGTTACAGCCTCTCACATTCACAGCCACTTTTTGCCTGATCTTGAATAATTGTTATTTTCTATTCCATGGGATGATGCAATCTGGTTTGATTGTATAATAACTACGTATGCCTGAAATATACGATTTATATAGCGGAGGCTGATATTGGTGTTCTGGACTGAACTGGCTAAGTTAGGCGAGAAGCTACTGTCTCAGAGGACCAATATGAGCTCAAAGTTGACGCTAAGCTGCTCGTACTGGTATGTGTCATTGGTTCGGCAGTGCCAAGGTCACATAAGTCGTTGTTTGTAATTGGCGGTTTAGTCACGTGATATATTAGACGGGAATATGAGCACAATAAATCCCAACAAACCATAAGGCCTAAAATCAAAGCATTCTGAAGTACGTAGTCAAACAAAGAGCAAATGATTCACATATAACTTGGTTGAATAACAAAAAGAGAATTTCTCGATCGATCAATAATAATCAATGAAATATCACCTTTGGAGTATACACTAATGAGTTTGTATTTTCTCGGGTTTTTCTACACCTTTCAGTTATGCAGAGAACACACAAATATTCAGTCAAAATAATCATTATTGAAGTACAATTAGAGATTAAAAAAGAAATAATTAATTCCATTAGTTTCGTGAAAATGTAAATTTTGAGAATAATTTTCATCTTATACCAGGTGAGCCATTGAATAGCTATTTTGGCTATTTTAAGATTTATCGGTGGTACACAATTATATGATAGAACCCGAGACTTGAAGGTTTCATCGAGAGCATGATCTTATCAATCCAATAAGTTGAAATCCAATAGTACGAATTTTCGTCAACATCAGTTAGCATTTAAAATAACAATGACCACCCACATGTTCGCGCTATCGTGCGATTTGATTGAAGTTAGAAATGCCAACCACTGTGACTACCTTGATGTGGTGGTCGGGTTTGCCTATCGTGATGAACCAATCGAGCTATACTGGTTGGAACGATCGCTCCCAAAGGTCCTACAGTCCCAGACATGTTGGTTGAAGAACGGTAAGACTAAAAGTAACAAATCCAAGGTCCGAAGACGAAGTCGTACTGCTGACTGTACAGAGGTGTGACGTCAGTAAGGTGTTTCCTTCATACAACCAGCACGACAGCGATGCTGACTTCCCACAAGGAGGGGTGGGGTTAGAAAAGGTCGACCCCAAGAATGCACACCTCGCCTTATCCCACGGATATCCGTCTCAGTCGGTAAGGTCCCAACAAGTACTGAGCTAACACGAAAATCACTCACAAAAAGGTTGTGTGTAACCGGCCTCAAGTAGTTGTTCCTTGAGCATTGCGGTCACGCTCTCAGGTCAATAAGGCCACCTCTAACCCAATTTCCTTTTCAGGTACCTTCACAAGAATTCTTTGCACAATGTGGGCAACCGGGAAGTAAAAACTGCCCTCATACCTCTAACAGCACTCAATTTCACTGTATTCATAATCAATCTTTTTCTTCAATTCCTATAATTGCTTCTCTATCGACTTTCAACACTAAACTTCCTCTTTGAGCTTCCTCCTCAAGTGTCACCATAGCTAACGATTCTAGGGCGCAAAACACTATCCCAGGTCTACTGAAACCCCGCTTCAAGCTACACACTGTAGTTTTCAACGTGCGCAACCTATGTCGAATCGGCCAACACGCCTGGGAGTTGGACATAATCTCATCTGACTGGACACAATCACTGATTGTTCCAATATATAAGAGAGGGTCAAAATCATCCTGTGACAACAATAAAGGGCCTGGTTTGACTAACATAGCATCTTCAATACTAGCCTCAATAATTATCGGCCGCCTAACTAGGATCGTGAACTGCAAACACGAGAAAATCAGGTTGACTTCGAACCTGGTCGTTACTGCATCGGTCACATATTCACCGTTCGTCAGGTTCTAGAATAAAGGCATGCCTATCGGCGTCCGACAATGGTGGTCTTTCTTGACTTAAAAGCAGCATTCGACTCTGTAGACCGATAGGTTCTGTGGCAGTGTCTGTCATTGAAAGGTGTACCTCAGAAGTATATAAACCTTGTGAAGACGCTTTACTTGAACACTACTAGTCAAGTCAGAGCTTATGATGAACTGTCATCTGCTTTTGCAACCTCAAGTGGTATCCGGCAAGGCTGTCCACTTTCTCCATTTTTGCTCAACTTCATCATAGACCTACTGATGGAAATAACGTTCTCGTCGACTAAATTTTCCGGCGTCGTACTCCCACCAGGAGGTTCACTTATAGACTTAGAATACGCAGATGACATAGTCCTGTTTGGAGAAGACGCTGATAAAATGCAGTTTTTCGATAGCACTGAGCAACAATGCCAGAATGTTTGGGATGCGCTTCTCCCCGTCTAAATGCTGCTGCTGTTGCTCCAGGACTTATCTGTGTCAACACCTGAACTAAGGATAGGGAGTGAAGTAGTCGAACGCGTTGATAATTTCACTTATCTTACAAGTCTGATCAGCCCTAATGGGTTGGGGTCTGGCGAAATCTCAGCACGTTTTCGAAAAGCTCGTTTGGCTTTTGCCAATTTAGGTCACCTATGGTGAAGGCGAGATATCCGTCTATCAATAAAAGGATGAGTATACTGCGCGGTAGTCCGTTCTGTTATACTTTACGGCTGCGGAACGTGGTCACTAAGAGTAAAAGATACTCGTAAGCTACTAGTATTTGGCCACAGATGCCTTAGAAATATTGCTCGCATCTACTGGGATCACCGGGTAAGTAAAGTGAGGTTCAACTCAGTGTGTTAGTTATGATAGTAAATCAGTTTTTGATGTTGTGAATCTTCATCGACTGAGATGGTTAGGCCATGTGCTACGTATGCCTGAACACCAATTACCACGACGTGCAATGCTAACAGGTGTTCGGGATGGTTGGAAGAAAGTTAGGGGCGGCCAAACCAAAACGTAGCATCAGTGCTTGAAGTCACTAACTTCTAGTCTGAGCCATATTGGTAGATGCAGACTACTTGGTTGGGGTTCGCGTGACTATCGTAACCAATGGCTGGAGACTCTTGGTGACATGGCTGAGGATCGATCAAAATGGCGTCGGCGCATACACTCTCTGTCTTTCCTTAAACTATGAGATTGAAATCGCCTCATATCTTTCTTTCTACGAACTGATTCTTTCTTCCCGTACTATATCCTCATATACAATCTTTCTTTCATATACTACCACCATTGAATTAGCTACTTCTATGAAGCCGGTGTTTGTCATTCTGTGCTAATGAGGTAACTTGGACCGATGCAAATATGTGCGTTGTAGCTGACTGACTGGTTGACAACAGCTAAATTTTCATGGTTAACCATATCTTTCATACGATTTGAAAGCCCTGTGCTCATGATCCTGCATGGAATTATGATTGCAAACTGTCGGGCAGTTCAAAATTAATAAATGAGAGAGTTATCCAGTGTACTTAATTAGTTCTTCAACTGAAAACAAAACTATATTTAGGAAGCAAAGGAAAAGAAGAGAGAAAAAATACATGCTAACTTACATATGGTAGAAAATGCAGAGCATATAGCAAATAGTAATGTAAGACCTGCGTTAATACCAGTGACAGTTAGATTTAATGTACATTGACGAGGTAAACCGTAGAAGAGTACAAAGGCAGTATAAACACAAATAGCTACAGCATACAGTGACAAGGTAGTAATATATATAGCTGAAAATTATGGAGGAAAAATTACATACATTATAGATCAAATGTCAATTATCAGGTCGAGACAAATCATTATTGTCAATTATCATTACTTCATTGAAAGTTTGTTTGAAAAAAATTTTAATTGGATAAAAATCAACATTAGTTAATTTGTGGAGAAGTTTTCTACTGCGGTTATGCGACTATACATAACTTATAAATGTGCCTGGACCTACGTTGTAGCTGACTGACTATAAATTGACATATATGTTTAAATGTTGCATTAACCAAGATTTTCTTCAAAATTGGAAAAGGAATTATTCTAACTGTTAATTGAAGTTATTTAAATCAAGCGAGACGTGAAGTCTGGTTAACCAGAAATCACAATTTAACTGTCACAAAAATCAACTTTATATATAAACACGAGTTTTCTGTTGTAGTATGATCGGTGCCAACAGCATTTATACATTTTATTAACTTGACTGTTAATGGTTAAACTAAATTAATGCTCTTTTATTGACCTTTTTATCAACAAGAGTGATATACAACATGGCAGGATATCGAAAAATCCTCTTCATGATTTCCGTTCTATCTAAACACAAGACAAGGTTGGCCAGAATGTCAATTCAGTCAGAATAATGTTTACGTCACAAAACGCAGGCGATCAGCGCTAACTAGTACGTAACATGACGAACTGATCAACTAACATTTCCAATCGAAATATGTGGCAATACGGTTTCGAGTCCTCTTGCAAAGATCAGTTCCCTTGAAATCGCAGATACTTCTTGCTGATGGGTGTCATACCAGAACTATCTCCCACTGAATCTTGAGCTAAATGGATCTAGTCGTTCTTCCAGCACATTCACTTCCTTGGGTCCATATCTCTTGTGTTTATATTCCAATTGATTCCCATAAGATTTAATATTATATGCATCCAATCTTTCCGATTTTCGCTCTTTGTGTAAAATGTGACAATTTGAACCGATACACATTCGTGCTCGCCTCAAATGACTGTGACATTGACCGGCTGAAAAGTTTCATCTGCATAAACGATGAATAACTTGGATAAAAAGCTTACTCTAGATAAATAATTTTTCGCACTTCACAATTAACAAACAAGTAATCGAAACAAAAGTCTTGTAAATTCATACGGAGGAATTAACTATACATATTTTATTTTTGTGAAGAACTCAGCATGACAAGAAGGTACTTCGTATGAAAGCTTTCAATCGAATTTATATGACAGTCAAAATTGGAAACTGAAGTACACTACAAAACAGAGACGTGAGTTTTGGAATCCAAATGCTGATAGCTCTGATACCCAACCTTGCTGAACTTTTATAAACCGGAATTTTAAATCATTTTCATGGTAACCAAATTATTTTGGCTTTTTTATTCCTAAATTAAATGTAGGAAATGCATACATAACAGATGACGAATCTAACTCACCTGATGTATAAAAAATTGAAGTTTTCGATTTATTATGCCTAGACGAAATCAAAAGAAAACATGATTAAAATACGTTCAGCAAAAATAAATGCTTAAATTAAGTAAGCGACAGAATGAAATGATTTATTATTTCGACAGTTAGTACGTACAAATTTTGCTGAAGATTTCAATGCTATATGGCCGATGTGGTGTTAGCAGAACTGAAAAACTCTTGAGCTGAATAATCCATAGAAAACGTCAGACGAATGTCTCAAACTTTACATTTTAGGTTATATATTTTTGTGAGTAGCATTAAGTAACATGGCTTATTTTGAACTTGGAAAAGTCTCTCGAAGATATAAAAATGCCCATTAGCTACACGTAGTCTTAAACAGAAAGCAGATTGAAGACAATGTGTACCTACAAAAAATTAAGTCCTAACAAACAATATATATCGGATACGAATGATTTTACCGAATCAATAACACCGACAAATTTACTTGATCCTGACAAAACAAAGTGCAAGTCTTTTTACCTATCGATTTCTTACTTTGTAGTAATCATTGTTATGTTCGATTCAAAGTGTTGACTAACCTTTATCTAACAAGTTATAATATGACTGCTAAGCTAAGCGATTTTACATTGCAGTGTATTTTATTTAGTGTCAGGCAAGTAGAATAAATCGGAGGCCGTTTGAATCTCACGGGGAGTATGTAAATTCCAAACACAAGTTATAAGTCAAAATAAAATCTACAGAGTATCGACTGTGATGAATTATACAAAACACTAAAATGTCTCCTACTTTATCAAATCAAGCTTGATGAAGTAGAATCAGAATGGAACGAAACTCAAGATGGTCGGGCAAGCATTCAACACTGACCGATGTAGTTACATTTTTCAACTTTCCAAGAAACCATATTTTCTGGATATGGACCCTCTAACAACAGTATGGAAATGACCCTGAAATGTTAGGTTGTACAACTTCAACTCATTCATCGATTGTACTGTTGGATGTGTGTTTCGCTATTCTATACACATCTACAGTTAGCATTGTTCGTTTCATTTTTTTTTGTTCTAGGTACAGTTTTTTTAAACAAATGATCTTGAAGTGATCCATCAATACAATCCAATTTGTTTGGTCACGTGTTGCTTAAGGTTTCTAAAATATTTGGCTCATTAAACGATTATATTCAATTCCCTCAAAAAATATATCTAGTTCTTCACTAAGGTGGCCTGTAAACTGTTCAACACAAGTTATACTAATTGTTTTCCACAAAAAGTTAATTTATAAAACAAAACGCCAAAATCCATTCATTTAGGCGTTCAACAGCCCTTCTTCCATCAAATAATATCACTTAAATAGATTGTAAGTGTAAACAATAATGATCACAACACCTCAGCTCGATAATGATTTTGAGGCTTATGTATTAGATTTTTGGCCACGTCATTTAAGTGAGAACCAGTAACAAACTACTCCTTAAACATTAGTAAGTAGATGTCGTTTTAAACTCAACACTTAGAAATTGAGATCCAATTGCCTAAACTAATGAGGTACTGGTCTACGCAAGCCTGAAATAATTAATAGGCAATAACTCATTATATGGATGTAACAATCTAGACTTTTTAGCAATAAGGTGTGAGGGTTAGGCTGTAAAGGTCGTCAACAAACTCCAGTATGGTCCATGATTAAGAAAGTATTGCTTGCGGTATTATGTTATTTAATTTACCTGCAAATATTGGGTAGTGACAGACAAATACAGTGACCGGTTGATTTTACCAGTAAATCTAAGTGTGCAAGACTATATAACCCAAGAAAACTGAAATTTCACAACTGCTCCAACTTTAATTAGTGATTTTATGTTATTATTGACAAGAAACATTCTTGCTCTTATAGTGGTAAGATTTGAATATAACTAACTACACCAATAATAAGTCATCGAAACAAAAGTCTTGTAAATTCATATGGACTTATATATATATATATATATATATATATATATATATATATATATATATATATATAATATAGTGAAGGAAGTATGAAAAGGTTCTTCGTAAAATCAAACTTCTAACGGACATATCACCACAAACTTAGAGACAAAAAGGCCTAAATGTTCTGCCAATTTCTAAGGCTTTGCTAGTGGACATAACTATTAGTCGAATCAAACATCCATGAAGAAACTAGACTAGGAGACTCCATAATAAGTAGCTGAACAAGTGGCATGAGTGATGTCCTATATTCATGATTCATGAAATCAGAAACTGGTGAGACTATGATTTCTGGACGAACCAATCATATTTAAGATAACAGGTTTTGAATTTTGGCGCGAAATTCATTCACTCATTTAGTTAAATATTATTTTGGCACCACATGTGATGTCAGTTCGTGATGGAAACATCAAATCTAATTCCTAACCCCAACTTTTAACTGTAAATCTTAACCCTAATTCCTTACACTAATCTATACCCCTCACTTAGCCCTAGTAAGTAGGTAGACATCCCAAGATCATCTTAGCGTTAATCAAAGGTCATCCATAAAATATAATCTCACACAAAAACTATTTAACGAAATTCGGCAATATACGGAAACTCTCTGAAAAGTATCGCCATTAAAGCTTCGATGTTTTATTTGGTTTATGTTGTTGCTTTGACCCATTAAGGATTATCTTCATGGTTAAACTACCAACAAAATATTTCAAATGTTCAACAAATTATGTTCTCTAAGCATTCAATCGACAGCACCAAGCATGTATGCAGTAAAGTCAAGTAATGACCACAGTAAAAGTGAGTATTTAGGAGGACAAAAGATAGCAAAAATTGTCATTGTCTTACCAATTTCCATTTATTTCATAAGCAAAGTCGATAAGCGTTATGTGTTGTACATAGACAAATAAAATCCCACCAACGATTCCCATAATCATCCACACTGTAGATCAAAGCGAGTAAAAATCAAACAAACCTCTGGTGAGAGTTTCCAAGTATGGGAAAAAGTAAGCAGTTATCCACACACTGACAATAAAGAACACTTTCCACAACCAGTACCTACATGTATAAGTTACTACATATACAAACTACCCATTATGAATTTTTCCCCGGAACGTCTGACTGGAAGAGACTGCGATGGTAAGAAATGTCATCAAGATATGAAAAGTGAAGAGAGAAAGACATATACGATAAACCCCAATATATCCTATAATTCTGTAACATCCTTCACCAGCTCCAATCTGAGAGCAAAACCGCTCAAAATTGTCTCTATGCTGCGGAATCGTTAAGAATAGTAGATAAGACATACTCTGAGATACAGCGAACTTAAAACTCCACCCTCATGAGATGCAATTGATATAAATGTAATAAACACAAGAATAAGTGTGTAAGTAAGTCGTGTTGTGGTCGATTCTCTAGAATTTTTTACACAACACAAAAAGCACGGATACGCTCCAAAACTACATTCTACTGTTCGCCCAAGACAACCCATAGAAATCTACTAAACATATGGTGGTGACAAAAGTACATGCTCAACGTTTGACTAGTTCATCGTTATTGACCTTAAAACAGTACCTTTGATGTTGGTTCATTAAAAGTAATAAGAAATAAAACTGAAATCTGCACTACAGAAAACGTTCTGTCACTTGCTTTATGTTCAAAAGTTATTTTTAGGTCCCTTTTACTCCATTTTTTCATGTAATTTTGTGTTATTACTCAAATTGTTTAGCTATTATATCGGAATGTAGAAGAACAAACATAATTCAGTCAATGAACAACACAACAACTTGCGGTCTAATGATCCGGCTTTTTAATGGTTTACCCACCACTAAAAGACAACCAGATGCACTAGAGCGAATTCTGACGAGTTGCGACCTCCCCATTAAGTAGTACAAAGTCTATTTCATCAGATACCCACCAATAGTGTGCACTTCAGTTACCGGAAAAGGAATAGACAGTCGACTCTATGAATGTTTTGTGAGAATCTAGAAGGCCTACGTGTAAAAAATGATTACTTTCAAATAATCGTTTAGCATTGTGGCTATTTAATAGATTTGCATTACAAGATCTATCTAAGAAAACGAACCAGTTTATTTTCGGATGTAGATATGTAGATTTATGGCCTAGTATGGTATCATTACATTTATCTTTGTTGTTGTATCAAAAGGCCCAATTCCAAAGTTGTAGATCTGTCATAATGTGATCAACTAATCTATAAAATCTTACTCAGATGTTACGTCATAGTCCACACTAATCCATCCTATTGTGACAATCAACATCTCGATGTTTAGTACTTCTACAGTCGCATTTTGTCTGGGGGATAGAATTGTGTAGTTATTATTGAAAGGTACGGGTCATACAGAGTGACCGAGCCCGCAAGGCTGAGCCATGCTATACCAACCAACTGTCCTCGCGTTTACCAGTCTCAACCTCCACTAAGTGTTATATTTCGGATGTTAATCGTTTTAGTGTTTACATGCTCGGCTCCGAACATCATGTGGTTGGTAATCAATACCACCACAGATATCTATTAGCTAAATAATGCACCATAAAAATTTTCTCCTGAATTACAACTTTTAGGTATCCTTACTCCCGGGTTTCCCTTTACTTAGTTGTTGTGCGAGAAGCTCGAATCATCTCATTTATTTTTAGATATTCTGTTCAATATCTTTGTAATACTGAACGTTCAGCCTAAACATTGACTTTGACTATGAATCTGCTATTCTAGACTTAAGGAGACCTAAAGGTTGGCTGTTTAGAATAATTTTTCCACACCTGTCATAACGAGAAATATTCCCGTAGATTTGCGATTAGATACGTGAATTTTTTATTTATTTACTCGATTCGTTTTGTTCAGGATCGTAAATCTAATGAACATTTGTCTATCAACTTCGCAGCAATCTAGACCTATTTTTGTAATACGTGCTTCACTAACCGTCCAGCGATCGTTTTTATTCAAATTGCCTTACAGTTAAGCCACACTCCAAGTAGCCGAAACTTCCTCCAAATCTCATAGTCGTCTGTAGGGAAGTTGAATACTGAGGAAAGTGTTTGAAGACATCTTCTAAAAAATTAGATAACATAACTAAATCACTCATGTGACTTCGCGAAGTTACGTTCATTTGAAGGACTAAACAAGTAATAAACACTCTATTATGGCCTCCACTAAGCTGCTAAGATATCACAGAAGAAAATCCTGTAGTGGTAAATAAATCTCCAAAACAAATAGTCCTGTAAGTCCTCAACATTGATGCTGACTCAATTAGTTTTACATGGCACACCACCACTGAATGTCTCCTGTCACCCACCAACATGAGGTCACGAGTAATTTCGCCGTGCTTCACCTTCCTTGCAGCTACTAGCCAGCTTAGATCAAATGCTTCTCAGTATATTGGCAATTGTGTCTAATATAACTTCGAGTGCATTTTTTACTGACTTCTGGTTTGGCTTGGTTGGTATCATTCGATCATAAAGATGTTGCGTACAAATGTGTCGTCTGATTTTAAATAACCGTGGCATCGTCAACTCCTAATAAAAACAGGATGAAACTAAGCTTGTAATATTCTGAGGTCCTCTTATTAAAATTTGTTAGATACACCACATAGACACTTGTCGATAAGCCAGGAGAAAGCTATTGATGACAACCGTGTACACTGATGAGTCATCCTGTTAGTGATAGAACACAAACGTACTAAGATTCTAACTGAGTGGGTCGTAAATTCACTGTGTAGTAGAACTTAAATCTGCAGGACTTGAAATAAATTTTACATAGTGAGCTTATCTATTTTCACACCTAATTTTGGCTTGGTGTTTTTACTGTGCCATGGACAGTTGATACACTCGTAAATTACAACTCCAACATCAAGAAAAGCTCATTTAAATTCAGATACCTAAAGTTTATACTCAAAATGAGAGTGAAGATGACACAGGTATTCAGTGTTTGACAACGCTTTTACCAGTAACACCTTCTAATATAATTCGTTCCCACCCAGAGAAATCAAAAGACAGAGTCGAGGAGATCGGAAGAGTGTATTTGGCGATAACCAATATATCGGAATTCTCTAATCTAATCTGGCTAGCGATTGCGGTAGATGTTGAGCACAGCGTTGCCACACGTGATCTGGTGCGGATGCATGACCGAGCGCCTTCAGCTAGATGAGTCCACTAAAACATATGGTCAGCATCCAATGTCGAAAACTTACAGAGCTATTTATTTTGGGGATTTATTTACCGTTACAAGAGTTATCAACCCAAATATAGTTTTAATGAGATTTTGGGTTTTCAGAGCAAAGTGCTGAACCAAACATTGTGAAGCTGAAGGTGTTTAGGGCCAAAATTATAAACAAAGGCCTTCAAAGTTTGAGTAATACAAATATATCTAAAACGCAATGAAAATTATGATGATCATGACAACAGTTAACAGTTCAGTAAATGTTCTGAATTTCTCATGTGGCCTTTCTATTTTTCAAATGATAATCACAGTCCATCAGAGTTACCTGGAATAGTTTGATCGAACAACGCACATAGTCGTAGGCTGTAGCTACATTGAAGCAACCTAATCAGGTAGTTAGTAGCAAGTTGATAACCTATTATTCGTATAAAAAATATGATAGATATGGAGTTTATTTATTTCCATGTCATATGTAGGTATCGCGTTTCCGAATTCCATTCAATTTCTCCTTTTGAATGGTGAACATTTTGTACTTCTCGAAGGTCATTTCAAAGCTCTCCATTTGCTCCTCAAATTGTGTGATAACCGGTAAAACTGTGATGGTATTCATTTTCAACCACATGATTTTTAAAGCTGAATAGTTAATAACTGAGATTGTTTACGTTCAACATTTTACGCTTGTAGAAGTTCAGAAATGATGGACCCAGGAACACTTAAACGGTATGGCATGGCCAAACCATTCAGGCGTGGCCACTAAGTAAATTCTTCTTTTACATAATAGACGCGTAATTCCAGTCCCACACCAAATTTATTTTTCTGAAGTACTTAAAAGTGTTTCTCTGGTCTTCACGATAAGACAAATCACTATAGACAATGATTTGACTTTGTAGAATTATGATCTACTTCGTTATTAGTACCATTATAATAATAGAATTAATCCTAGAATTGTTGACAAACAGTACAAATCCGAGAGTCCAGACAACTATGTAACTGTCACAGTATGAACCATCTAAAATAACCTTATGATTGCAGAGACTTGATAGCTTAAACTCACCTTAATTTCTGGAGTATTGTCTTCGTCGTTTGGCAATAGAACTCGAAAATTGAAAATTAGGCAGGCAGTGGTCGGACAAAAGATATTACTGGATAGTCCAAAGTTTAAAACAGAGTGAAATGTTAAGTAAAGAAACAATATAAAGAACTAGGTCCAGATAACCATTCAGTCCCTTTTCACGTTGCCAGTCAATGTATATTTCCGTTATTAACAGGTCACATTTGCTAGAACTTGATGTTTTCACAGGTTTATTTCGCTGAAGCATGTAGTTGCTATTACAGCTTGTCAACAAACCATCTTGGCTAGTAATTGATATAGATGATCTGTTATTATGATCGATTAAGCTAGTACGTTATGAGTGCTAATCAACACCGCAATATGATAGAAAACGTGAGCGTTAGTCAGGGGACTATGGAATACTGGGTTAACATATGTAAAAATCGATCAAGAAAGTTAAAGTGGAAATAAGGATTAGTAGTAATAGGCTGTGTTTCTTTGGTCATGTATATCAATGTGGATTTATGGTCCCTTTCATTATTAGTACTATTGTAATAATAGATCTTATCCTAAAATTGTAAATTTGTTATGACGTAACTGCCTAATCTTTAAGATCTTACCTGAAAGTCAAACCATTGTTTACACTGGTTCATCGTATCGCAATAATCACTAATATTTGATGGAGAACACACTTAGGCTGGAGATAGAACAATATATTCAATATGAATTAAAAAATATCATATAGAATGATCACGTCTGCAAGGCTGAGCCATTCCATCCGCTTAATTGAATTTCCAATGAATTATCCGCGTCCACCATTATTGACTTTCTCTTTGTACTACATGCTAAAAGTTTATTTTTCCAGTTATCTCATGATCAGCTTTGAGGATTGTGATTAGAATCCTATGCCACTACAACTTCACTTAAGATCTTACAGATAGGATAGTCACATCACGACAAATCTAAAATCGTGAAATACGTTTATTATTCTTGTGTCATAGTTAGTTGTATTAATACTGGCCTAGATAATAATCCTACAAGCTCACCACTATCTGTACCACAGTAGCAATTAAGGTGTGTCTGAACTGTATCGTCTACGACAGACACAACCACTAATCGCAATAGCTCTTTATACGTTGATTTGCTAGTGAAAAATAAGCAAGTTCCTTGAATGTTAGAAGTCAGTTCCTGTCCAAGAAGGATAAGATCTAAGTAGTCCAGCGATTTTCAAGGACAAATGTGGCATCAAAATTTTTAGCCTGGTTCAGGTTGTACACTGTCCCCGTGCTGCTTGTAAGATATATAGGTCCTCACAATTAAGTCAAAAGATAGAAAAAACTGCCTACAATAATCT